GAGAGGAGGAGGAGGAGGAGAAGGAGAGGAGAAGGAGGAGGAAGAGGAGGAGGAGGAGAAAGAAGACCCTTACACCTCCGCCACGTGTCTTGGTGATACTCGACTTACCTGAGGCTAAATATACTTTACCTCCCCCCTTCCCTCACTCCTCCCTCCTTCCTCACTCCTCCTTCCCCTCACTCTCCTCTCCTCTCTCCTCCCTCCACTAGCCAGCTCTACCTCACGACTATAAATTTCAACCTCCCCTCCTCACCCCTTCTTTTCTCCCCTTCCTCCTCCTCCTCCCCCTTCCTTCCCCTCATGTCCGATATAGTTTTTTGTTTGTTTTATTTATTTTTGTTGTTTTTCATCGCCAGGACAGGTACACGGACGCGGGTGGTTAGTTCTCCGGAGGAAGGTAAGTAACAAACGCAGGGGGAAGAACTTGTCCTTTCTTATAGAGGGAAAGATAGGGAGGGGGGAGGGTGGGGGAGAAGTGGGAGGGAAGGAATGGAGGGGTAGTTTTAGTTGTTGATTTTTAAAGGGGTATTTTTAAGGGGAGTTTTTAATGGAGGGAGCATTTAAGGGAGTGTTTTAGAGAGGGAGAATTTAAGGGAGTGTTTATAAGCGCGCGTTGTATTTTCGACGAGAAAATAGAACAGAACGTCACTAATCTCAGGAGAGAGAGAGAGAGAGAGAGAGAGGAGAGGAGAGAGAGAGGGAGAGAGTCATCGGATGCAAAACAGAAAGAAGTATTTTTATTACACACGGGGGAAGAAGGTGACCCTCCTCCCTCAACCCCCACCTACAAACTCTCGACTAATGTAAGCCCCGTTAGAACGAAGCTCCAGCCAACTTAAGATCTCTGGTTACGTTCTGGTGAATCTGACTTTAAATCCGCCTTCACGACCGCAACCTCCATCCACCTGTCTGTCCCTGTTAACATCTGTCCACCGTAACACCTGTCTCACCGTAACACCTGTCTCACCGTAACACCTGTCTCACCGTAACACCTGTCTCACCGTAAATAACCTGTCCACCGTAACACCTGTCTCTCACCGTAACACCTGTCTCACCGTAACACCTGTCCACCGTAACACCTGTCCCACCGTAACACCTGTCTCACCGTAACACCTGTCTCACTGTAACATTCCAGTTCCACCGTAACACCTGTCTCACCGTAACACCTGTCTCACCGTAACACCTGTCCACCACCACCACAACTATCACCACTATCACCACAACCCTCACCACCCCACCACTACCATCACCATCACCAGCATCAGGACAAACACCATAATTAACACCATCAGCTCACCACTGACACTATCACCACATCAAAGCATTACCCATCTCACCATTCAGCCCTCTGCCGCCCACTTGCCGCCCACACGCCGCCCACACGCCGCCCACATTGCCCTACAAGAATATATACAGTCCAGTTCCATAACACATGAGAGAGAGAGAGAGAGAGAGAGAGAGAGAGAGAGAGAGAGAGAGAGAGAGAGAGAGAGAGAGAGAGAGAGAGAGAGAGAGAGAGAGAGAGAGAGAGAGAGAGAGAGTGAGAGAGGTTAGAACAACACGTGACGTCATGTAATCCCTAACTTCTTCGTCCGTAATCCTAAATCCCTCACTACTAATCCCTCTCCAATCCCTGGGCTCTAATCACTCGTCAATGACCTCTTTGTTACTAATTACTAATCATCATCAGTTCTTTAATCCCTCACCTGTAATCCTAATCCCAAATCTTTTAATCCAATTCCCTTAAACCTAATCTCTCGTCCCTATATCCTAACCCCTAATCTTTAATGCCACTACCGTAATTACTCGTTCTTAATCCTTCTTGACTAATCCCTCTGGGGAAAACACCTCGTTAAAAAAAAGACTAATTAGGGAAATTTACCTCATTTTTTCCCTCGTCTGGGGAATTTATTTTTCCCTGTTCAAAGGAAGAGTTCGGAGACTTGGTGTCGTGCGTGTCTGTCTGTCTGTATGTCTGTATATCTCTGTCTGTATGTCTGTCTATCTGTTTATGTCTGTCTGTCTGTCTGTCTGTTCGTATGTCTGTCTGTTCGTCTGTCTGTCTGTCTGTCTGTATATATCTGTCTGTTCGTCTGTCTGTCTGTCTGTGTACACCTGTCTGTTTGTATATCGATCCGTCCGTCAGATTAGCTGTGATTACCTGTCTCTGATTGGTTGACTGGGTGGGTGACTGTCTGTCTAATCTCACCTCCCTAATCTCGACCCCGTCAACTGAGTGTGAGAGGGGACAGAGAGGGCAAGGGGCAATCAGGAGATGGAGGCAGGTAACTGTACTACTATCCCATCACTATTCACCTCTCGCTATCCCCATCCATCATCCAGGTAGGGATGTTCAAGTCACCTCTACACCCGGCAATAAACCTGTTATATACCTGTTTTATATACCTGATCGACAACACAGGTAAGAAGCTCGGTGTTATATTCAATCATGGACTTGTAATACACCTGTGATCTGACTTCTGACGTTGGGAGGGAGAGGAGAGGAGAGGGGGGGGTGGAGGGGGTGGAGAAAGAGGGGGTGGGGGGGAGGAAGAGGTAGGGGAGAGGGAGGGAGGTGAGGGGGGTGGGAGGTAGATATTAGTTTCAGGTGTTGTGTTGGGAGGCTGTGGAGGGGAAGTGAAAGACTATTACCACTACCACCATCACCACCTACCACTATCACCAGGACTACTACACCACTAACCACTATCACAACTACTACCACAATCACCACCACCAATACTACAGTACTACCACCATTACCCATTCACATCCCTCCTCTCTCACATACCGGAAGCGACGGGAGACACTATAACCAGGTGTGTGTAGGTTAATTAAACACACCAATAACAACAACCCCAGGTGAGCTTCAGGTGATCACAACTACTACAACACTGTATTGGCCATCTCTCTCCCCTGTTGTATTTGTTCCAGGAAATAAACTTGAATCACCTGAAGATTATCCCTCCCACCACCCCCTCACCCACCTTATTTTACCTGATTAAAACCCTAACGCTACCTGGTAGAAGAAGAGACTGGTTATGGAGGAGTTGTAAAGACCGAATTCACTAAACTACAATCAGCTTCATCAACCTCGACCAATCAGAATGCCGGACAAATAGCGAACGTTAGTAAAGATCTGTGACCGGACACATCACCACTGCCTAAATATGATCAAATTAACTTATTATATATAAACACATTTTTTTACTCTTATTCCTATTATTATTATTATTATCATTATTATTATTATCATTATTATTATTATATTATTTTATTATCATTATTATTATCAACACAATTTATATTAATATCTTGACCATAATTATCATCATTATTTTCATTATTATTATTATTATTCAAGCATCATCACCACCACCATCATCACCATCATCATCATCACCATCATCATCACCACCACCATCATCACCATCACCATCATCACCATCATCACCACCACCAACATCATCACCATCAACCACCACCATCACCACTCACCATCATCACCACCTATCATCACCATCACCATCATCACCACATCATCACCCATCACATCACCACCATCATCACCACCACCATCATGTCACCTCATCATCACCACCACCATCATCACCTACCACACCACTATCATCACCATCATCTCACCACCATCATCACCATCATCATCACCACCATCATCACCATCACCATCACCACCACCATCATCACCATCATCATCACCATCATCATCACCACCACCATCACCATCACCATCATCACCATCATCACCACCACCAACATCATCACCATCATCACCACCCATCATCACCATCACCATCATCACCATCCCATCATCACCATCACCATCATCACCACCATCATCACCACTCACCATCACCACTCACCACCACCACCATCCCACCATCACTCACCATCACCACCACCTCACCCAACACCGCCATCACCATCACCACCACCACCACCACCAACATCACCACCACACCACCACCACTACCCACCCACCCACTCACCACCATCACCACCATCACCACCTCACACCAACACCACCCACCACCACCACCACCATCATCACCACCATCATCATCACCACCATCACCACTCATCACCACCAACATCACCACCACCACTCACACCATCACCACCAACATCAACACCACCACCACCATCACCTTATCACCATCACCACCATCATCACTCCACCACCTCACCACCACTCATCATCACCATCATCACCACCACCATCACCACCAACACCACCACCATCACCACCACCACCATCACCACCCACCACCACCACACTACACCATCACCCACCACCATCACCACCATCATCACCACCACCATCATCACCACCACCATCACCACCATCATCATCACCATCACCCAACATCACCACCACCATCATCATCATCCACCATCACCATCATCACCATCATCACCATCATCACCACCACCATCATCCTCACCACCATCACCACCAACACTCAATCACCACTTCATCACCACCAACATCACCACCAACATCATCACCACCACCATCATCATCACCATCACCCATCACCATCACCACCAACATCATCACCACCATCATCATCATCATCACCACCACCAACATCATCACCACCAACATCACCACCATCACCATCATCATCACCATCATCACCATCATCATCACCACCAACATCATCACCACCATCATCATCATCACCACCACCAACATCATCACCACCAACATCACCACCATCACCATCATCACCACCATCATCACCATCATCATCACCACCAACATCATCACCATCATCATCATCACTGAGGTGTAGACAGCAGCACAAGACCTGTTGCCAGAGACACAAACACCTGAGAGTTACAACACACTCCCTCACCTCACACCTTATACATCTACTGTAGTACCCTTATACATCTACTGTAGTACCCTTATACATCTACTGTAGTACCCTTATACATCTACTGTAGTTTAATAACCAAACAAGGCTAATTACCTGATAAAGCAAGTCCCGCTGAAAGAAAAGTTGAACACATCAATAACGACTTTATCTTTAACTAACTACTGTGTACTCTAATTACACTACTCTACTATACACTAATGCTAATGACCTTAATTATATGCCATCTTAAACTTAAAATACTTAATGTTTTATCTTAATTAACTAAACCAAATGTCCTTCACCAACCGTGTGTGTGTAAAATCAACTACGTCCACACAGGTATGTACACACAACGCTACACATACACGTATACATACACATACTGTACCCCACACCATGTATGAACTATGTATACATTAATAAAGAGAGAGAAGGAGGAGAGATGATAGAGAGAAAGAATGAGAGAGAGAGAGACAGACAGACTGAGAGAACTACAATGTATGATGGTAAAACACACACACACACCCACACACACACACACACACACACACACACGACTCTCCCTTCCCACCTCTTCTCCCTTCTTTCCTCCCTTCCCTCTCCCCTCCCCTTCCCAACCCATTCTCCCTCTCTATCTCTCTCTTCCCCTCTTCTCCCCTCTCCCTCTCTCCCCATTCTCCCTCTCTATCTCTCCCCTCCTTTCCACTCCCTTACTGCTCCCATTGTTCTTCCCTCCCCTGTCTCCATCCCTCCTTCTCCCTTCCTTCCCTGTCTCCCTCCCTCCTCCCCTTCTCTCCCTACCTCCCTCCCTCCTTCTCCCTTCCCTGCCTCCCTCCCTCCTTCTCCCTTCCCTCCCTGCCTCCCTCCTTCTCCCTTCCCTCCCTGCCTCCCTCCTTCTCCCTTCCCTCCCTGCCACCGACCGCCGTAAGGGTTATCAAATTCTCTTCTCCTGTGAACAAACTTAATTAACAATGTTGCCAGAAATAGACGAACACTGAAAAAATAAATGACAGCAGTAAACTTAACAAAATGACTTGGTAGAGATTAAACAACAATAAATGGACACAAGAGAAAGTAAACAATAATATGAGGAGGCAGAAAGTAAAAAAACATTAATAATAAAATCCATTTAGAAAGTGATTTAGAGAATAAATAAATAAAAATTCCTATTAAAAATGATGAACCATAACAAGAAATTTATATATAAAACATTATTCATAAAAGTTCTTTAGTAATGTGACAAGACCTAACCTAACCCAATATAGCCAGGCACTGTACTCGATCCCCTGCACTTACTAAACTGTATAGCAAGGACTAAGGACCAGTCAGATACCCTCAAGAAACGAGTGATGTATGGACGGTACACACACACACACACACACACACACACACACACACACACACACACACACTGAACACACTGAACACTATTAAAAAAGCCTAGTGTTTACATTTCAATACACCTGTGAGTAAACAAACTAGCCGCTACTGGTGAAGACACGGGCTGGCGACACAAAAACAATGTTATACACTAAATAAAAAGTAATGTAAGCTTTTTTCTTTCTTTTACGATACAAACAATAGCGGGGCTGTCAGTGGGTGTGTACTGTCTGTATGTACGTATAGCATAGCGGGCTGTCAGTGGGTGTACCGTCTGTATGTACGTATATCGCTGTCAGTGAGTGTACCGTCTGTATGTACGTATAGCGGTTAGTCAGTGGTGTACTGCCCGTATGTACGTATAGCGGGTTAAAATAGTGGGTGTGTACTGTCTGTATGTACGTATAGCGGGGCTGTCAGTGAGTGTGTACCGCCTGTATGTACGTATGTGTGTACCTACCTCATACACTAATTACCTCTCTAACTTACGAAGTAATTATCAATGTTTTTAACTAACGAAATATTCTTTTCTTTACTAATGAATAAGGTTTATCTATTAATGCAACTATCCCAACTATCTATATATTCAACCACGTAACACACACACACACACACACACACACACACACACACACACACACACACACACACACACACACACACACACACACACACACACACACACACACACACACACACACACACACACACACACACACACACACACACACACACCTGAACAAAGTCTCAAATCATCTTCTTATAACGTTATGGTGAAACAACTTTCAAATCTCGTGTACAGAGTTAAGAAAAAAAATACCTTCTTGAATTTATTCCTAATTACTAAATATTTAAGAAGTTACCCGAGAGAAACATCCAAACTTATTATAAAACTCTACCCATAACCAGGTGAGTCTTATAACACCAGGTAAGACGCCAAATTAAACACTAATTAAGACAGGTGAGAACAAAAGATGATTAACTATTTTGATCCAAGTTATTAAGTTAAAAATGATTGGTTGGTATACTTAAAATAGCCAATTAATTCTCAAGGTTTTAAGATTTAATTATTTACTAAAACAAAACTTGCCAGGAAATAACACGAATTAAAAACCCCACACACGTGCGTTACTTACCAAGACTAAAACCCTAACAATGTGTGTCCCTTTAAAAACCACGGCGGAAAAAAAAAACAAAAAAAAAATTAAATTAAAAACCATATCTAATTTCTCAACCACCAACACTTAATTATAATGACAAAAAAAATTACCCCTTAATTATGTAGTATGTAATTAGTCTTCAGAATATGTGGCAGAGTACATATTCTTGTTACATAAACGCATTGAGATCTGGACATATAGGTTTGACTTCAGAACACACTTAACCCCTTGAGTACGATGATTTAACCCTTTGAGTACGATGATTTATCCCTTTGAGTACGAGGTTTTAACCCTTTGAGTACGATGATTTAACCCTTTGATTACGATGATTTAACCCCTTGAGTACGATGATCTAAGCCCTTGATTACGATGATTTAACCCTTTTGAGTACGATGTTTTAACCCTTTGAGTACGATGTTTTAACCCCTTGAATACAATAATCAAAACTCCCTTAAGTCTCATGTCATCGTACTCAAAATGTTAAATCCGCTAATTTGATTCACTTAATAGTACTCTACAATGGGGCTGTACTCTAGTATATAATGTACACAGTATCACAGAGGGCGGGACAGTGGCTCAAGTAATATTCTCACCAAAGCGCTAAACTCTACGGGAATACCACGTCACATTTCAGTTACTCTCGCTAAATAATTCTTTGGGGATTATGTGTCAAGATTAAAGGAACAGTTACTTAAAACCCAGATAATTATCATGTAAATAATATCCAATGTGAACAAATATCCTTGATAATAATAATAATAATAATAATAATAATAATAATAATAATAATAATAATAATAATAATAATAATAATAATAATAATAATAATAATAATAATAATAATAATAATACCACGCCCCACACACACACACACACACACACACACACACACAGAGTCGGGGTTTACACAGGTAGGTGGGGCGAGCGAGCGAGGTAGGTAGTGTGTACATTTTCTGTGTGAGGTTAAAAGTATAAGAGAATGGTTTCCAGTGAGGCGGGGAGACACAACTAAGCTGAGGTGAATCATTGTCTCCCCCTTCCCCCCACCCCATAATTACCCTCTTTTGTTTTTGTTTATGTATGGGGGGAGGGGGGTTGGTTTACAGCTCTATAGACGGTGACTTAAACCCAGGTGTAATCATAAACCTATACCTGTCTACCCTCACTAATTATGACTTCTAATCAATGTTTTCCTTACCAATACTGCCAGGTGCGTGTCTTTAATGCCCCGGCCTGTAGGATATACCATATAGGCCTACTTTCACCCCCCCTTGTCAGCCAGCCTACCCGTGATTAATGTAGCCCTAAGGCAGCCAAATGACCACAAACGTAAGGGTCAAACTCATGTCCCAAATTGTCCAAGTCCTCGCTCTTCCTTAACAAGCGGACAAGACAAATACGAGCCAAAGATAAAATACAAAGAAAATGCAAAAAAATACGTGTAGAAATGTACAAAAATGGTAAATAAAAGACGTATCGTGGCAAGATAGTGAGTGAGGTGTGGAAGAACAACGTTTAAGGGTGGGGGTGAGGGGGAGTGGGGGGTAAATGTCTTAGAACAAGTAATCTGTAATAAAAAAAATATCTAAGGCTCACAAAAATATATTAGCCATTATATTTACCTCTATTAAAAAAAACAACAACAACAAAGACGTCATTGTAAATATATTTCACATCAATACACGTAAAGACTTGATGAGGAGATAAGATAAACCAAGAAACTATAGAACTACTGCAACGCTACATCAACGCTGAATCGACGTTGAAACAATCCCATAACATCACTTCAACAATTCAACACTGAAAGGTAACGTTGAACAATCCCATAACATCACTTCAACAATTCAACACTGAAAGGTAACGTTGACTACAAGTTTGAAATCCTCCTCACGATAAGAAACATTTCCACAAGAGGAAAAACAAAAACACAAAACACATAAAGAAAAGTAAACACTCTTAAAAATTAAAACAATGTTCTAATACTCACCCTAAGTCTTCCAGGTCGTAGAACATGTCCTTATTGGAGTCATGGATATAGATCTTGACTGAGGGAAGATCAAGGTACTGCATCGTCAGCTGGTTAGGAAAGGACCTGACGAACAGAGCCTTGACCGTATCCAGGGAGGTGATCTCGTTAGGCAAGAGCGCTCTTTTAGTCTCCCCTCGAAACTGAAGGAAAACCAGACCTGAAAACGGATCAAAAACATTAATGGTAAACAATGGAATTTTTTTTATTTTCTTCTTTTTTTTTTTGTCCAATGATCAATAATTATTTTAGGCTTTTGATAAATTTTTTGTATATATAAAAGCATATTTTATATATTTTTTGGTATACAATTTTTATTATTGTTAAAAAGTACAACCAGAAAACGGCACTTAGGTCCCTGACAGCTGTGGCAACGCATTATTGAGAGAGAGCAACAATTCTTCTTGACCTTCAATAACCTGACCTCACACAACGCCGAGGAGCTTACAGACAAAGACAGAACACACACACACACACACACACACACACACACACACACACACACACACACACACACACACACAGACAGACACAGAAGAACGCACAGGACAGGGATATCACCCAGAGGTAAGATGAGACTAAACAGAACTATACATCAACAATATTAACCCGACGAAACACACAAACACCATCTTTCTTAACCACTAACTCTCGGCACAAACTTCTGACATAAAAGCTGTTTGTGATATAAGTTGTGTGTGTCTTGATATTAGTGACGTGTAGAGATGAGGGGGTGGGGAGAGGGTGAGGAGGGTGAGGAGAGGTGGGGGGAGGTGTGAGGTGAGGAGGTGAGGAGGGTGAGGAGGTGAGGGAAGTGAGGGAGGTGAGGAGAGGTGAGGGAGGTGAGGAGAGGTGAGGGTGAGGGAGGTGAGGAGGTGAGAGAAGGTGAGGTGAGGGTGAAGGGGTGAGGAGAGGTGAGGGGGGGTGAAGGGGTGAGGTGGTGAGAGGGGTGAGGAGGGTGAGGGGGTGAAGGGTGAGAGAGGAGAGAGAGAGAGAGAGAATAACTCACTCTAATTCCTATAACCCACAACCTTATCCTAAAACAGACATAAGAACCATTAACCTCACACCCAAAAAAACACCCTTATCCCACCCCTCTATAAGACACATTATCCAATACCTCAACACCAACCACCAGGACGATGCATTACTATTATGGACTCTATACTATGGGTGTGTAAGGGTGGTTTGCTGGTTAGGGAGGGAAGGGGAGGTGGGGGGTGAATGGCGTGGCTTATCACACTCTGCAGCCCTGGAACAAACTAATTATCCAGGGTGTGTTGAGCATCACAGCCCTGCCATCACTGTTGGTACAGGTTGGACACCCCCACCTGATGATACCTGTGGATGCTGTCAGTATTTAGATGCGGATGCTGTCAGAGTTGTCAAAGCTGGTGTAGTCAATGTTGGGGTTGAATGTGTGGTGTTGTGTGTGTGTGTGTGTGTGTGTGTGTGTGTGTGTGTGTGTGTGTAAATGAGGGATAAATAACACTACAATTGGCTCCTTCCTCTACATTGACGATAAACACATCAGCTCAACACAATGAACTCGACAAACAAACACTGATATCTCACCATTTGTTTGTTTGTTTATTCATATAATAAATTAGCTTTTAGGTGGATTTATTTGATGACAAAATTATACAACAACAATTTAATAATTGATGCTTTACAAAACAATCTCTCTCTCTCTCTCTCTCTCTCCCTTTCTCTATCTCACATGCATGTATGTATGTATGTATGTATGTATGTATGTTTATGTACACACTAATAGTACTCGTTAACTACTATACTGGATACACCCAAACCTTCTTCCTCTTTACTGCTATAAGCCTCGTAATACCTGACGAGTAAGCAATAACCCTAAGACGTGTCCAAGTGGGCTGTCGGGAGGTATAAACAGAGGGGGAGGGGGATGGGGGAGGATGGAGGAGGGATGGGGGGGAGGGAGGGATAGGGGAGGGGAGGGTGGGAGAAAAGTAAAGAAGATCTAATCCCATATCAAGACGATCTGATTCCTCTTCTTGGGATTCCCGACGTCACTTGTCATCGAGGAGGAAAGAGATGGAAGGAGGAGGAGGAAAGAAGGAGAGGAAGGAGGAGGAGGAGGAGGAGGAGGAGGAGGAGGAGGGGGAGGAGGAGGAGGAGGAGGAGGAGGAGGAGGAGGAGGAGGAGGAGGAGGATCAGCTAGTCAATGTACATGTAAATACTCCATAAATTTGTTTTCTACTCTTAATATATCTGATTATCCACACACACACACACACACACACACACACACACACACACACACACACACACACACACACACACACACACACACACACACACACACACACACACACTAAAAAATAAAAATATCTCACCAACTTTGATCCAACTCCTGATATAACCACTTTACAGACAGACACAGACACAGACATACAGGCATCACTCCCAGTCACAGCCAACCCACACAAGCATCAGACAGACGTGGATAAATTGTTCTCACCGCCTTCCTCCTATGGCTGGACCGGGGCGTGGGTTAAAGAAAGAAAGAGAGAATCCAACTTTCCGGCCTCAAATTGCTTTTCGGACTATCTGGAAACAACAGCCTCGCCGTGTCGGGCCGAGAGACCTACAGACTTCTCTTTCTCTGTCTCCTACGAGGTCAAGAGACAGAGGGAAAGTCTTTCTGTCTCTTTGGGAAGAAGGTGAAGAGATTGCCTGTGTGTGTGTGTGTGTGTGCGTGTGTGTGTGTGTGTGTGTATGTGTGTGTGCGTGTGTGTGTGTGTGTGTGTGTGTGTGTGTGTGTGTTCCTTCTGGCAAGACATTAGAGACTTCTCTCTCTCTCTTTTTTTTTTTTTTTTCTCTCTCTCTCCGAAACGTTTCACTTCACCATTTCAGAAATAACAGTACAGATAAAAATACAAGTACAGTTCAGGTACTAATATAATAATACGTTCAGGTACAGAAACAGGTACAGATACAGGTACAGATACTAGTTCAGGTACAGATACAAGTACAGGTATAAAGTCGTCCAACGTGACAAAGTCGCCAGAAGAATAAAAGTGTCGGAAATAGTAATAAACTTGTTGCCAGTTGTTTGCTCTCGGCGCTAACCTCTATATATCCAAGAAAACAACTAAAGTAAACACTCAGGAAAGTATTGTTTACACGGCGGCCATTTTGAATTTCGGAGCACAAATTTGTAATAAAGATAAGCGTTGTTTATATTGGCGGCCATTTTGAATATCCAATGCATACACACACACATATATACCTTATCCTCACACATGTCCAATACGTATATAAACTTGTCACTCACATTAAAAACATCCATATTCCTCCCATGTCTCACTTAGAGCCTCACAATTAAATAGAAAATCTCAGGAAAGCCGAATTTACAAGGGCGGCCATTTTGAATTTTGAGAAAGCGGAAATGGGGATTCTTTCGGAGCTCAAAGTTCTGGCCAGAGGAAATTTAGGACCGGCGTTTACCTTCAGCCAGCCAACGCAGGAGCGGGAATTTGCGATGCTCGTAAGTTGCCGATATCATAAAGAATTATTGACCGAAAACCCATTCCTAAAGGGCGAAGGAAGGGGGGAGGAAGGGGGGTAGGGGTAGATGAGAATGGGATTGAGGAAGGGTAGGGAGTAGGGAGAGAGATGGGGAATAGAGGGGAGAAGGGAGGGTACAAACCTATTTTCAGACGACGCCATCACGAGTCTTGGTAAAAACAGGAGATATACAGCGGCATTACGTTCTTCGGCTATTAGGTACCAATGGAGCTATTTTTGAATACTAGTTTTGAAGGGGGGTGAGGGGGTAAGGGGGGTGAGGGGGTGAGTGGGGTAGGAGGAAGGGGACGGAAGGGGAAGAGTGAGTGGGAGGGATGAAGGAAAGGTTTTTACCTATGTCAGCCTCCAGTGAGTTCGGTCTTCTGGTCAGTTGCTTCGGTTAACGCACGACTGATTACTCAATACGGGTTTACTGAAGCACCAAGATGAAGCAATGACGCATATATACTACTTGGTGACGCACGGTTGGCTGATACACGCATCTGTTCATAGGACGCATGGTGTTGATGTAGAATAATACAATAGATGAGTAATACCTTAGAGGCAAAATACAACTGACGCAAAGTGTTGTGGACTCAGACAAGGTAAGACAGACAGACAGACAGACAGACAGACAGACAGACAGACAGACAGGTGGTGTTGTCATGCACCCGTGTACCCTGCAATTGTTTATGGATGTTGTGTTGTGTTGTGTTGTGTTGTGTTGTGTTGTGTTGTGGCGGGGGACCAGGTAGAAGTTATTACTGTCACAGGTATGTTCTTTATAAATGTTTAAAGTTGATTATTTCATTAAGTAACATCATAAACGTTGCCACCAAAACGTTTCAACATTTCTCCTAAAAACATAAAACATTTTCAACCCCCCATAAATGTTCTCTTTAATACCATCAACATTTTCCCAGAACCAAGTCAACGATTCATCAATTATGTAAATCTCTCTCTCTCTCTCTCTCTCTCTCTCTCTCTCTCTCTCTCTCTCTCTCTCTCTCTCTCTCTGTGTACCTTCAGGTGTACAGAATGTGTGTGTGTCTTCTCATGATGTATACATAATACGTGTAGGTGAATCCTCATGTATACAGTATATGTGTATGTATCCTCATGTATATAGAGCACTAGAGTTCCGACGCGGCAGAATAATTGACGATGAATCTTTACACACGAAGGTACACGTCCCAACACGTCGCTCTTAATGCATACAAAAGGTTAGGAGATGACGGAGTGTCTCTCTCTCTCTCTGTTCCACCCCTGTTTCTCTCTGTTCCACCCCTGTCTCACTCTGTTCCACCCCTGTTTCTCTCTGTTCCACCCCTGTCTCTCTCTGTTCCACCCCTGTCTCACTCTGTTCCACCCCTGTCTCTCTCTGTTCCACCCCTGTTTCTCTCTGTTCCACCCCTGTCTCACTCTGTTCCACCCCTGTTTCTCTCTGTTCCACCCCTGTCTCTCTCTGTTCCAGGCAATAAAAAATGAGATAGGCGACGACCGCTACCAGTATTACTAACTAAATTCTGATATTAAAGTCGCCACAGTCTTGGAAGGGGAGGAGGAAGGAAGAAGGGGGTGGAAAAAAAAGGAAGAAGGAGAAAGGGGGAGGACTAATTAATTTCCAGCACTATTTCCTCTATTTCCAAGTAATATTGAGAGGTAATATAATACCATTAATACTTCTCATAATCCCACTTCTCCTTCATTCCCGTGATTTTACCACCCGCCCCACCGCATCCCACCCCACCCTTACCCCACACCCACCCACCCCACACCCCACACACCAGGAAATATCGGATGTCTCGTCCTAGCAGGAAGACAGAGTGAAGGCATATCGGCAGCCAGGTAGACACACCAATAGTAGCACGAAGGAGGCAAATCTAACATACCTCCACCCTAAATAAGGCTGGGGGTTAAGGAGGGGGAATGTTGTAGGATTTAGGGGTTAGGTTAGGTTAGGCTGGGTTAGGTAAGGTAAGGTTAAGTTAGGAGGAAAATCATGGTTTTTGGTTTAATGTCAAATATGTTTACACTTTTATCTGGTTTAACATTTCCACCTGTGGTTTAATGTTTACACCTTCAACTGGTATAATTCCTTCAGCGTGTACACCACTTTCCTCACCTGGGGGCAGAGAACCTGTGTGTTGGTGTGTTCAGGTGAGTACAAGGTAGAGTTACCAGCCGGATATTAACACGGCGACAGACACAGACAGGGGAGACATAGGGAGAGAGACAGAGAGAGACAGAGACAGACAGACAGACAGACAGAACTACTCCACAAAATGTTCTGCTTTACTCGGCCGCATAAAGATGATGTCCCCCAACCCCCCTCACACACACACACACACACACACACACACACACACACACACACACACACACACACACACACACACACACGCTCATTACCTGTTGCTCTACATTATACTGGAGACGTGACGCTCATGATAGACAATATCAATGGCAAAGCGAAGAACCAGTTTAATGGTGTGCTCTCTCTCTCTCCTCTCTCTCTCTCTCTCTCTCTCTCTCTCTCTCTCTCTCTCTCTCTCTCTCTCTCTCTCTCTCTCTCTCTCTCTCTCTTCCTGTCCCTCTTGCTCCTCCTCTCTACCTCCTCTGTAACCTCTCCTATCCTCCTCCTCTCCCCCCTCCCTTCCTTCCTCTCCCTCTTCCTTCCTCCCTTCCTGTCAGTCACTCTCCCAGGAGCCATCTACAAGACTCCGCCATCAACTCCCTGCCTTAGTCATCCCCACGGGCTCGTCCCTCACCCACCACTACACGGACACCTTCTACTACCACCACTACCACTCCTACCACCACTACCACCACACCTCCTACCACCAGCACCACGAGGACGCTACATACACTCCTGGGGGACTCGCTTAATTCACTCGGATGTCCTACCCTAAGGGACCATTCCCCTCTGCTGTTATATATAGGATCCCTCACTACTCTCAGGACGTCACCTTTCATCCCCAAGGACACGTTCCTCAACCAGCAGGAGTCCTACCATTACTACCACCACCACCACCACGGCCATGTCTCCTACCACCACCAACCACTACCGCCACCACTACTACCACCACCACGGCCATGTCTCCTACCACCACCAACCACTACCGCCACCACTACTACCACCACCACCAACCACTACCACCACCAACCAATACCACCACCACTACTACCACCACCACCACGACTCCATGTGAGGTACTGTAGACGTTCACGACTCCTACAAATGTCCTGTGGGAACCATAACACCACCTAACTCTTCCGTAGACGTCCTCCAATTCACTTAGCTGTCCCGTAGGATCACCCATCACTCTCACTTCCCCTTTAGGATACCAAAAACATGGGACAAAGGACTCTAAAGGACTCTTGTACTCACCTAAGGGTCGCTCGAGGGTCTTGGAGGGGGTGCGGACGATGGGTAGGGAGGTGCGGGGCTTGAGGTTCCTCCCGCGGCCGGTAGAGGAGGTCTCCGCCTCACTCATGATGCCCGGGTCCTCATCCCAGTATGAGTTGGTCTCCTCCATCTCTGTGGGGGCGACGGAGACACAATGGTGAGTCACAGGGAACAGGTGAGTCAATGATGAGTTAGTGGTGAGTCATTGATGAGTCTGGTGCGTAAAGTCAATGATGAGTCAATGGTGAGTCAATGATTAGTCACAGGATTGAAAGACATTGTTGAAGAAAAAGAGAAAATCAATCACGTCAGAGAGAGAGAGAGAGAGAGAGAGAGAGAGAGAGAGAGAGAGAGAGAGAGAGAGAGAGAGAGAGAGAGAGAGAGAGAGAGAGCAGAGAGAGAGAGAGAGAGAGAGAGAGAGCGAGAGAGAGAGAGACACCAATCCAGACATAAGAAGGGGACCACATAATACAGGTATCAAGACATCATTGCTACAGGTAAAACATTAACCCTTCCCCATATAAGCAGACATATCTGACATACCTACGGACACCACCACCCAGGCTTTCCAATTAATCCAAATCTCTTTAACGATGACAGGCCTTAAGGGCCACACACACACACACACACACACACACACACACACACACACACACACACACACACAATAGCACTCCACTGACCTGCTAAGTAGCTGTAGTATTATTAATTTGTATTGTCGAGTGTGTCCGTCTGAATCCCCTAACCCCTGTAAAAAGGGCCAGGTCAATCCCTCCACCCCAATCGAACCCCTGAACTCCCACTTCAACCGAACTCAAAACCCCACCCGGCCCCTACTGAGCCCCCGAACCCTTTACCAAACCCCAACTGAACCCCCTGAACCACCTGGCTGAACCCCCTGAACCCCAAACCGAATCTCCGAACTCAACACACCGAACCGAATTTCCGAACCTCAACCGAACCCCCGAACCCCCAACCGAACCCCTGAACCACCTAAACCGAACCCCCGAATCCCCAACCCCACTTGCACAGAAAACGAAAATCAAACTAATGATAACGAGACACCGGGAGAGAAACACACCTGTACCGTTCTCACATCTGCCTCAGGTGGGAATCGACAACGAGCCACAGGTGTAAGGGAGAAGCCACTGAGGTATCATTAACACCTGGCCCACGACGTTCACAGGTGAGGTAAGGCGTGTGAGAACCTCCCTCCTGGTCCTCGTGTTCTTGTCTTATCTACAATCCCTTAATCCATCTACAATCCCTTTAATCCATCTATAACCCCTTAATCCATCAACAATCTCCTTAATCCAAGTTATCTCCTTAATCCATCTACAATCTCCTTAATCCATCTACAATCCCCTTAATCCATCAACAATCCCCTTAATCCATCAACAATCTCCTTAATCCATCTACAATCTCCTTAATCCATCTACACTCTACTTAATCCGTCTACACTCTCCTTAATCCATTTACAATGTCCTTAATCCATCTACACTCTCCTTAATCCATCTACAACCCCTTAATCCATCTACACTCTCCTTAATCCAACTAATCTCCTTAATCCATCTACAACCCCCTTAATCCATCTACAACCCCTTAATCCATCTACACTCTCCTTAATCCAACTAATCTCCTTAATCCATCTACAACCCCTTAATCCATCTACAACCCCTTAATCCATCTACAACCCCTTAATCCATCTACACTCTCCTTAATCCAACTAATCTCCTTAATCCATCTACAGTACAATCTCCTTAATCCTTGTTGTTGTATTAATAAGATCATATGTACTCTCTGGTTGTAGTAAAAATAATACAATGGTGCTTTACCTACCCATACTGTATTAATACAACCCCGTCTCTATTTAATTATCAAATACAATGACAGGTAGGTACAGGTAATACAGCATCTATAGGTTAATGTTGTATAATACATTAACTTACTACTTACGCTGTGTTGTATTGAGATGAAGAATATTTTCCAAGTGTTGTATTATAAATGTATCAACAAGACTAAATACAACAACTCTACCCCCCATCATCACCCCCCATCATCACTCCCCCATCATCACTACCCCCCATCATCACTCCCCCATCATCACCCCCATCATCACTACCCCCATCATCAATTTCCATCACCCCCCATCATCACTCCCCCATCATCACTCCCATCATCACTCCCATCATCACCCCCCATCATCACTCCCCCATCATCACCCCCCCATCATCACCCCCAGGTAAGGCAACTCGGAACTGAGCAAAAAAAACACCTTTGATGTTTCTGACCGGAGGAAACCTTTTTTTTTTCTGGAATTGAAATGTAAAAATGTTGAAGTGGCATACAAGCTTTATCCTGATACCTCGGGGTTAAAACTGTGATTAAAGAGACGCGTAGACAGACAGACAGGCAGGTAGGTGGATACGCAGATAGAAATGGATAGAAAGAGACAGGCAGACAGACAGACAGGTAGATACACGATAGATAATAGATAAATAGACAGACAGACAGACCGACAGATATTGACCTCAGACAGATACAAGTAAACAATAAAAACCTTCAGTAAAAAAAGTCTGGATTTAATTAATAATGTGAGTATGACATTTATTAAAGCGGACACCTCGATATATAGAACACCTTTCAAGAGTATAAAAAGAGCCTTGATTACCGGGGTTCTACTCTGTTACCTGAAGATTAACCACCCTAATGCTACCTTGACCTTGAGGGGATAGGTTAGGTTAGGTTCCCCCCGGCCAGGTGTAAGACCCCCAGCGGGTGGGACCCCCCGGCCAGGTGTAGAGCCCCCCGGCCAGGTGTAAGACTTCGCCAGGTGTAAAAGACGCCCCAAGCCGGGTGTAAGGCCCCCCCCGGCCAGGTGTAAGACCCCCCGGCCAGGTGTGGAGCCCCCGGCCAGGTGTAGGACCCCCGGCCAGGTGTGGAACCCCCCCCCGGCCAGGTGTGGAGCCCCCCCCCCGGCCAGGTGTGGAGCGCCCCCCCGGCCAGGTGTAAGGCCCCCCCCCTAGGTGCTAGGTGCAGTACATGTTCCGTGTCGTAAGTTCTCCAGGTTAAATTATTCCCCGGTGGAGCGTTGTGTTGGAGCACCTCACTCAGCTCCCTCCACTTAGTTGTAATGAGAGATTAAATACAACCCTCCACCACTATCCTTCTCCAACACCACTCTCCAGCACCTTCCACCACTAACAATTCCCCCTACAAACACAATCTCCATCACAACTCTCCACCACTACCCCCACCACTGTCCCACACCCTCTACCACTACTCTCCCACTCCCTCCACCACCACTCTCCTCCATCCTCCACCACTCCCCCACTCCCTCCACCACCACCACCACGAAAGGGTCGCAATGGTCAATGAACACCGCTACAAGTAATGACGAGAGAGAGAGAGACCATTAACCCACACTCACTTAAGCTCCCGTATCTAGTTATGGTCGCGTCTCAGTGACACTCTGACGCAGTTCAGTTATGGTCACTGTACTACAGAATCGCTTTCGAATTCAGAGGAGAATGACAAGACTAATCCCGAGCACCTTGAGTACAGAGACAGGTTAAGGCATCTTAATTTGCACTCCCTCGGGAGACGTAGAGCGAGGGGCGATATGATAGAGGTGTATAAATGGAAGTCAGGGCTAAACAAAGGGGACATAACAAAAGGTACTCAAACTATCCAACCAGGAGCGAACTCGTAACAATGGTTTTAAATTAGACCAATTTAGATTTAGGCGCGAAATAGGTAAACACTGGTTTGGAAATAGAGTAGTGGATGAGTGGAACAAGTTACCAAACATCATCATTAACTCTAATACGCTGGATAGCTTCAAACATAGGTTGGATGGCTATATGAGCGATAGGGTGTAAATGGGACTGCCTAGTACTCGCTGCAGTTTCCTCCATTTTTATGTTATGTTCTTATGATGGACCTAACCTGACCTGACCTGACCTGACGTCACCTTTAACCTCGACATGAAGACCCAGGCAGGTGAAGGAGGTTGCTCTTGTTGTTGCTTCACCTGCCAGGAATTATTTAACGGCGCCACCTTTTGAGAATACGGCCCCTGAGTGTGATAGTGAATGATATTTGAAGGGGATACGAGGATTGTATATCTTGTGCCTTGTTGAGGAAGGAAGGAAGGAAGGAAGGAAGGAAGGAAGGAAGGAAGGAAGGACGAACAGAAGGATACAATGAAGGAAGGAAGGAAGGAAGGACGAACAGAAGGATACAATGAAGGAAGGAAGGAATGAAGGGAAACCACGGCCACCGTTTTCTTTCCCTACCTCACTCCGTACTGAAGGCGTTTTATTTCCATTTGAATTAACCTTAAACACAATCAGGACTTTATTATGTCTTCTGATTACACATTACCTGGCAGCACCGCCTCTCTCTCTCTCTCTCTCTCTCCCCAGGTGTCACAAGAGAGGAAAGTCTATTAAGGAGAGTACCTGGCCGATTTACCTGTTCCTCTACCATCTTCACCTCTCTCTCTCTCTCTCTCTCTCTCTCTCTCTCTCTCTCTCTCTCTCTCTCTCTCTCTCTCTCTCTCTCTCTCTCTCTCTCTCCTCTCTCTCTCTCTCAGTATCGGTTGCTCAGATAGACTCAAACACTAATTTAATTTTCTCTAGATAATATCAAGAAGTAGTTAATGAGACAATGCCCACCACAACTCCTCCTCTTCCTTCTTTCTCTTCCTTCTTCCTCTTCCTTCTTCCTCTTCCTTCTTCCTCTTCCTACATCCCCCTCCTCTCCTTCCTCCTCCTCCTCCTCCTCCTCCTCCCCATCCTACAAGACGTATGATAATGCGTCAGTCAGCCCAATATCAGCCTTCCTTGATAGACTGATCGATAATACTAAGTAAACACAAACAAAGAAAAACTAAACAAACAAACAAATAATTAAAAACAAGAAAATACAAATAAAAAAAATACAAGTATAGTAAAAAATAATAAACAAGAACAATAAATAAAGAAACAAAATAAAACAAATAAATAAAACAAATAATAATACACAAACAACAAAAAATTACAAAACACACAAAAAAAAACGAAAATAACAAAATAAAACAAAGAGGAAAAAACTAAAACAGAAAATAAAAACAGGGGTCAAGACTTTCA